ACACACACACACACACACACACACACACACACACACACACACACACACACCAGAGGGTTAGTGTACTTAATGCTGTAAAGCAAGTAGAGCAGTTTCAAGGACTGGAACCAACCTTAAATGACAAAAACAGTTTTTATGTGAATTATCATAAAAAAATGTTAAGGGGCTGGAGAAATGGCTGAGTGGTTAAGAGCACTGACTGTTTTTCCAGAGGACCTAGGTTCAATTCGCAGCACCCACATGGCAGCTCAAAACTGATCTGACACCTTCATACAGACATACATGCAAGCAAAACACCAATGCACATAAAATGAAAAGAAAGTTAAAAAAAATATTTAGTTAAAAAAAAAGAAGGGACAATAGGAGTTTCAGAATGAAAAGATCATTCATGTTTCATGTAATATATGCAGTATTGGCTATAGTATGACAAATGGAAACGGGATTACTATCATAAAAATGTTCACTACAGCTGTATGCACCTGTTCCAAGCCCAAACCAGCCTGTAATGCTTCCAACTCAATTACTTCCCCCCCCATTGGCACTGTCAATGGAGGAGCATGTAGATCTTCTGTTTGATCCAGTCTTTGTTATAAGGCTGGTATGTCTGTGTATCAGATCGGTAAACAAGACACCTGAGATCTGTCTTGTTTGTCAGTAAAATCAAACAGCTGACTGATACCATGGGGTGGGGAGGCTGTTGGGATCCATTGTCTTCAGGTGTTCTTCATATATTTTACAAACACCTGGTAGGCACCCATTCACACAAGTCCCGCCTTAGGCCTCTTGGTGGGTTGGATCAGCAAAATGGTGTGAGACATTAGGTCAGATGCTTTGCTGCAGCCACTGCTAACACTGCTGCCACCACACATGAGCTTAGCCTCCCACTTTTTTTCTTAAAATTGGTTTAGCAGCACTTCCTTTTAATATAATCTTCTCTTAGTGGCCACTTACACCATCTCAAATACTCTATGTCCTGTAAGAAAATAACTACGGTCTTCCTCTGTTTTCAAGGTGGAAGCCACAGCACCCTTATTTATCGACCAGACAGAACCTGAATCAAACACAACAGATGGCACAGAATTGTATGAAGACAGCCAGCTGAACAGTCGCTCTAAAGCAATTGCATTAAAAACCAAAGAGATCGAGCAGGTAAGAATGTAGTCTTCCACTAGACACAGCTGTTGGTTGTGACGCTCTGCACACACACATATTTGCACTAAATAGATACAATGCTCTTGCTTTTCTTTTCCACTTGTAACTTTAAAATTCCATTGAATGTGTGTGGAAGCTAGGGCGAACTCAGGTTCTTCTTAGGAAGCTAAGATGCACCAGTCTCCATCTTCCAGGCACTGTGACTCCTTTGTTTGATGGGGTCTCATACTGCAGCCCTGGCTGATAGATTGATGCCGCCTTTGAACTTATTGCAATCTTGCTATCTCAGTTCTCAAATGCTGGGTTCGTGCTATGAGCCACTCACTAGTCAGCAATTTTTTTTTTTTTTAATTCACTTGATGTGTTTGTTCGCTTGTCTCTCTTACCATAATAGAGATTTCCCAAGAAGTGCTACTTTATTCTGCTTAGTGGTGTATCTCTACTTACAACAGGGGTTCATGCATAGCTGACTCGTGAAAGTATTCGTTGGATAGATGATGGCTTGAAGTCATAGCTCTGACAGTGGCCCTTGAGTGGTTCCTGAGTCACTTAAAATTGGAGGTGGCCTTATGTTACTGTCCACCAGTCTTAGGTGTCATTCCTAACAGTGTTCAAGGTGGTATTTCAGTGAGTGAATGAGTTAATGTTCTTTTTTCTTCCTATGTTATCTCTCTCTCTCTCTTTTAAGATGCATTAATTTTCATTTTATGTGTTTGTGGATATGAGTGTTTTGCCTGAATATCTGTCTGTGCATCACATGTGTGCTTGGTGCCTTCAGAGGGCCGAAGAAGGTATAGGCTCTCCTGGAACTGGAATTACAGGCAGTTATAACCTGCTATGTAGGTACTGGGAGTTGAAACAAAGTTTTTTGGATTAGCAGGCAGTGCTCTTAACCACTGAACCAACTCTCCAGCCCCCTCAGATGTAGGTTTTTAAAGACAAGTTCTCTTAAGAATGTAACTAGAAGAAACATTTGATAGAACATAGAAGAAGGAAGTATTTTGTGTTGTCATTTATAAATGTTTTCATTATTTCTTTGTATTGGTATTCATGGTTGATCTCTTTGATTGTGAGAAAGTTATCAGTAAGTTACACAAACTGGCTTGATGGTGCACTGAAAATTATTTAGCATGAAGCTGATTATATATAGCTCTGTGTGGAAACCTGCACATGTTTGAGTTAAAAGACTGTCTGTTTAGAACTGCCGTTTGAACATATGAAACAGCTGCTGCTAAAGCATGCGGAGACTATTGCAGGATGGCAAGTGACCTAAAGAAAGAAAAGAGAACCAGGTATGGGTGTGGTGGGGCCGCTATAGGTGTGATTCCAGTGCTGGGGGCAGAGTCAGGAGGGCCTTTATGAGTTCCCGGCCATTCAGAGACTGTGTCAAAGAGAGGATGAAGGGACAGGGATGAGGGAGAGAGAGGAGGGGAATAAAGAAATGGAGTTACTACATTTTGGTGTTACTGGAGGAGTAAAGGGGTTTCTGAAAGAGTTATAAAATAGGTGGGCATGGTACAGGTACCTGTGATCCAGAATGATGTGGGAAACGGATGCAGGAGAAAAATGTCTCGATAAGCTTCTGAAGTACATCCTGAGACCCTGTCTTGATAAAGTAGGTATGGTGATATAAAATAGAAGATACACAGAGCTTTCTCTTCTGTTTGAGACTTTTGCTTTCACACATGGGCAAGAAGTAAGGCCAGAATCCTTCCAAATTCAGGAAGCCAGCATATGAGTATATGCTTAAAACTAGTATATGCTTAAAACTTCTAATTACTAAAATAAATAATAGCAATTATGTTATGTGTATGATTGTTTCGCCTTCATGTATGTCTGTGTAACACATGCATACCTGGTGCCATCAGAGGCCAGAAGAGGGCATCATATTCCTATAATAGACAGTTGTGAGCCACCATGTGAATGCTAGAATTGAAACTGGTTCTTGTGTACCTGATAAAACAGGATCAGATGAATGGGGAAGAAGTACCCCCTAGCAGTGGACTTGGCAAGGGGCACGGTGGAGATGAGGGAGGGAGGGAGGGACTGGGAGGGAATGAGGGATTGGGACACGGCTGGGATACAGAGTTAATAAAATGTAACTGATAAGAAAAAAATAAAATTCAAAAAAAAAAAAAAGAGAGAAGGGAAAATGCCTTTATCTTGTATTTACTTGAATACTTTATCAAGTAAATACTTTATCAAGTATTTACTTGAACCTCAGGTCACGCCATTCACTTAGTGTTAGTTCATTGGCAGGTAAACAAACATTGCTTGATTTATTTTCTCTCTATGGCTTACAACAGTGAATGTTCATATAAGGGAAATTTTACTCTAATTTAGCTTTGTAAGACTTGAGTATGTCTTTGTTACTGTATGCTCATATTTTTGGATGACCTGAATTATTGCCATCCAAATGTTATACCCATCTTGACAATGCATATCTGTGTTGTATAAATTTCAAATGACATTCAGTAAAATAATAAGATTCTGATTCATGAGTACTTGTCTAGTATAGCTTTTATATTTTACTTTTATTTTTTACTTATCTTTTCTTTTTAGTTATATCATTTGATGACTGTAGAACCATTGCATTTAGTTAAAGACAAATTTACAGTGTATCACAGTAATAGAAATTTCTGTCTATTTGAAACTTCTTGAGTGGAAATTATGAAAATACTTAGACCATTTTATTTTGGACATTCCTGAGTTCAGGATTCCTACTTCCTGTAATGTACAATTTGTAAACTTGACTCTGACAACAGCTTCACTCTGAAGCTGTTTGCTTGTTCGTTTTGTTTTTGTTTTTGGTGGGTTGTGTTTTCAGAAAGACTCTTGGTTTTTGGAGTGCAGTCTAAGTTCTCAGTATTGTATGAAGGTGACAAAAATAAATAAATAAAACTTCTGGAACTCTGAAAAAAAAAGAAACTGGTTCTTGTGGAAGAGCAGTCAGTGCTCTTAACTGACAGCTCCCCTTAGGCTTTGAAACCTGAAGTCATTTAATTGAGGCAATATTATAGCTTGAAAATAATTTCATAGTGACCACAGTGCTACAGTTCTTGATGTTTAAAGACAGACAGATTGATAGACTGTACTGGAATTACCTCTGTATGGGGACATACTCTTTTGATGTATTGTCACCTTTTCATCCCTGGGCATTTAAGAATTTTATCAGGTAAGTGGTGCCTGCCTTCCTTCCTTCCTTCCTTCCTTCCTTCCTTCCTTCCTTCCTTCCT